AGGAGGAAGGAAAATGAGGGAAAAGAGAACAATCGCGACGATGAAGTGAATGGCGCCAAGCCAGATTGTTATGGCGACGATGGAGTGGAATTGGTTAGAAGGGAAATGTTCTTCAGCTTTAAACTCTCTGAATCCGCTCATTTCGACTACCTCAGGCTGAATCGTAGATCCTCTTGCTCTATGTATAGTTCATTTTGGACAATGTCTTTGCTACTTCACTTTCGGCCATTAAATGCCTCATGCTTCACACATTTAAACACATTTCATAATGTCAAGCCATCTCCTATCACCAGTGGACCCTCTAAATGAAATTTGTGGAAACAGATCTGATAGATCGTACAATGTAAGTATGTGGTGCAAAAAATAGATATGAAATAGCGTTTTATTGCACAAATTTCACCACTTGTGGTTATCTCGCCAACAAAAAAGACTAATAATTTGGCTATTCATATATACTCTTCACTGAATATGCTCTAACAATTTTTCCATACTACTAGATATCTTCAAAAGGGATCACTCTTGCTTCCTCTCCTGCTAAACTGAGCCTCTAGAGCTTCACTTATGTTCACATTCACATACAACTAATATTTATTTTTATTTTAATCGTCTGGATATTATTAAATAATAGAACAAAGTTCAAAACCACAAAGGACAAATGTCTGAGATACTCCAATTTGTGTCTACTCCTTTCTGGCGTACTCCTCTATTGTCTGGAATACTCATGTCTCCAATACTCATGTTTGTTACAACTTGGGTATTATTATTTAGTACAACTAGTTGTACCAAATAATATCAGGGTACAACTAGTTATTACTTGATACAACTATTAGGAAATGGTACAATTAGATATTACTTGGTACAACTATGAAGATATGGTACAACTCGTTTTTTGGTACAACTAAGATAAAATTTGTACATGGTACAACTGGAGTTTCCCAGACATTGACTTAGTCAACATGAACTTATGGGACATTCATTCAACCAAAACCAAAAGCTAAAAACATCGACTCCCAAAATAAAGGGACTAAAGGATGTTAAAAAGATGCATCTCTGATAATACGATCTTGAAGCCAAGATGGTCCTCCGAGGGCTAGATATGATTGAAACCTCCCATCACGAGTCATACTCCTTGCAATTTCACGTGCAACCAAATTGGCAGATAACGACTCAAGTTCAAAGGAACACGACACAAACCGGGATTGGAAATACTTGACATACGTCAAGAAGGCTCGATATCGTGGCCATTCGTCAGGTTTAGAAAGAGATCATAAGACTAGAGCCGAATTCAAGGCTATAATTACATCGGCAACATGGAGATCAATTAAACTGTGCAGCACCCAAATGATTCCTCGGAGTTCAGCCACTATTCGATTAGGAGAGCAGGTGAAAGCCTCTCTTGCATGAAGGATGACACTTCCAGAATGATCCCTTGCGATCCAAGCTCCTCCATTGTGAGAAGAGGTGTTGTGCCAAGTCAAATTAGCATTGCATTTAATAACACCTATAGGAGGAGGAAGCCATCTTGTGTTGCACGTTTGAGATCTTAAGGTCATATGAGTCTCCGCCTCTGAGTGTATATTAACTTCCCTCCAAAGTTTTGCTTCATCAAGAGACCTTTGAACCCAAGACAACACAGGTTCCTGTTTTTGAGCATACAGGATAGAGTTTCGATTTTTCCATACAACTAAATTAAACTCATGATTTTGAATGCGACCATTTACAGAAATAGACTAGTGTGTTTTCTAACGAGGAGACTGCTATGTCATGGAGATGGATATTCAAATAGCGGAATAATTGAATCACAAAATGGTGGAACTAAATAAGAAACCTCACAAGCAGAATAGATTTTAAAATTTGTTGTGTATGTGTGCTCATTCGCTCGAGATCATAGATGGAGGGAGCACTGACCCACGCTTAGCGCACCCTCAAGCCATTTGCAACAAGCACAAAGTAGCAAATTTTTAGGAAATGTTCTATTTGATCGATGTTTATATTAAAACTCTTTACCAGCTTTGGTTTTTTTTTTAATGTGTAGAGAATGCAACTTGCAGGCTATAATAGAAGTAACATATACCATTGCTAGTTGCTACAAACAGTCGATGTTAAAGACATACAAGTACAGGTAAATCCAATGCCCGCTCCAAGTTAACAAATGATTTACGGATAACACGTAGACAATTATTACCGTTGGAGAATTCTATTCAAAGGATGTTTAACTGAAGATCAGAATAGCCTACTCGGGCCTTGTTTTTCTCAAACAGCTCCTTAAGCGCTTCCACAAACTGACCATGTAACTTAGCAACCTAAGATGCAGACAACAACACCAAAGCTGATGAATGGTGAACTTACAAGAGGCATGCTTAACAGTAACATTTAGTAGCCGAATCGCAATTCCCTCCCCATTTTCATACTAATTAGAAGAAGCTACATTACAATACTGTATATAATGAAGACGACTTACCTCTTCATCAGTTGGATGCATACTTTTTGTAACCTCTATCGGTTTACCAACCACCACGTGCATAGGGTGTCGATATGGTAATGGGGATCTACAATAGAAATGGTAATCGTTTATTACCTCTTTCAAGGTTTATTAGGCAACAAAACTAACATAAAAAGATTTACGCTTACCCAAAAACTCCCCAAAAGCAGATCGGGGTAAACTTGATCGCTCTAGATAGTTTAAGGTAGAGGTTTGAGTTTGGCTTCCACCATTTGTACACATATGACTGCGGAAGAAACAAAGACATATAACATAAAACTGGATAGCAGAAACCGAACAATATTTGAATCATGCATCTGACCAGCTAAATTAAGTTTGAGAGCTTTCAAGCACGCGAAGATAACTACATGGAAGATAACAACACTATGTGAGCAACTCTTTTCCCTACCTGACCAAAGCCGAAAACTGGAACCAGAGGGCTCCCCTGTTCCATGGCTATGCGCACAAATCCTCTTCTCGTCGAAAGGAACACCGTCTGCAATGTGAGAAACAGTTCAATAAATAAACAGAATGTTGCAGGCAAAACACATCCTCTCCTCTTCAGTTTGCAAACTATATATTTACACGAGATATCAGAGTAGGAATAGCGATATCTCAAGTAGTCTAAACTTGTAACTTACTAAGTAATCTAATTCTTAGAGAAGAATATGATTCCATCAAAACACAAGAGCGCTAGAATAAAGGAAAAACCTCAACATCGTGTTGCATGTGAAATGTCTCCTGCACACCACCAGGTACGAGGATACAACTATAGCCAGAAGCCAAAAGATTACCGAAATTCTTCCTAGAAGCAGGGGCGAGCCCTAACCATGTCCATATGTGCCTTAGAAACGGCGTATAGAAAACCTAACATCAATTATTGTAACAAAAACAATGAGTCTTAGTGAGAAACAAGGTTAAGGATACACAAAGGGATTAATTGAAAGCAGAACATGAACTCACAGCAGTACTTGCAAGAACTTTGATGTTAGGAAGAGGCATAAACCCTGTAAGATCAGCAAGCGCAACAGCTCCAATCGGCCACACCGAATGTGGTTCATAACCAAAGACTGTAATCAATCACAGATTAACAAAGTCAACAATCTCACAAACCCATCTTTAAAAGCTTGAAACTTTGGATTAAGAAGAAGAAGCTTGTTACAGACCATATGAACGATTAGGCTGAAAAGCTTCGTAATCCTCGACGTGAAGCGTGAGGGGGAAATAACTACACGCGTGCTTACATATGTACCTAGCGAGCATACGACCGTACTTGCTACGATCGTCGATTGGGATGAAGATTAACAGAAAGAGCAAGCCAAAGACCCTGAAAACAAAACAGAGGATTCACAAAAGAGATTAATCTGAGACTCTTCAAATAA